TTTTTTTATTACTGCCTTTTTATGATCTAAAGGTTCCTGTATCTAGAAGCATGTGCGATCTTTTGATAAAAAGGTTTATTTCTCTATTTCAAAAAAATAAGGTTCTGTAGAAATATTAGTATCTTGCCTTAAAGTGACTGCAAGGACTTTAATATGGTGGATTTAAAAAAAAAAATTAAAATCTTATTTCTGGTATTTGCAGAATATGCATGCTCAATAGAATAAAAATATATTCAGGCAATATTGCACCACTCTCAGTCTATAGGAAATTATTTTCCTGGCACACTATCTGTTCTCAAACTGTGACTTACCTAGTGCAGATGTTTTATAGATGATGAAATTCACTGGGAGCAAATACGTAGTTTGCCTTGCATTATCTATATATCTCTACAAAACCAAATAATTGAATTTATACTAATGACTAACAAAGATGTACAATATTGCCATCAAATACCGACCTGTAATGAATGGGACTCATAATGTGACCCGGCTCTCCTATAATTACATTAAATGCTATTCTGAAATAAAGAATTTGTGCGGTCTCTTTCCTCTCTCCAAGAGTTTTGAAAGCTTCTGAAGCCACACTTCTGCTGCTCTTTCCTTTGAAAACCAGAAGGAGGTATACTGACAGTTGTAACTGAGTTGTCTTCATCTACTGAAAATTCCAACTATGGGATGATGTGCTCGACTACATAGCTAAAAAGCATGTCGGTTTTATATTATACCTAATACTTCTGCAGGGAGTTTTATGAACATCTAAATGAAAATTCCAAAGCAATGCAAGTGATCTAGTTGCATGCATATTTTGTTACGGCCTTAAGGATGTCAAATTTGGCAGCAGGATTTCTCTTTCACTGTTCTGGTGACTTACATGTGAGGTCTCACTGATATGTTGGTATAAAATACAAAAGATTTTTCTTTTCTTTTCTACATGAGAAATACTGGAATCGTATAGATTTTTTTAAGTGATGGAGAGTATACCAGAAGAAAAATATTCCATAGCACATTTGCAGTCAATGGCATGTAGCTCTACCCTGACTTTAGAAATCAATAGATATCCAGCAGTGACTTGGGATATTGTGTCCCCTGCACTAAAAAAACAAAGGCTACAATTGATTGACAAATGATGGATTCCTTTATCTCTCATTCAGAACTGTTTTGCTTTTTTTTTAAACTAAAACTGTACATGCATTAGTGTGTGTGTGTGTTGTTTTGTTTTTCTCTTAAAGTCAATGCATCCTCTCATAGTTGATCTTCCATCTGCTTTAAGTGTTCTTAAATGCCTTAATCACTTCAAATCAGTGGGAACTGAATTGTGTGGCTTGACTTTCAGTAGCAAAGTACATAATTAAGAAGGCAATACTGATAGTTCATACTAAGTAAAGATTCTCAAAATGCTTCAGATTGTGGCAATACTTCACTTTATCGCCATTTTTGCATTTCTTCCACTCCTTTACCATAACCGAGTCAGGATCTTTTTAGGAGAATCTTGGAATAAAACAAGCATAACTTTGTTAAGCAGTTAACTCCTAGGCCCCTTCTACATATTACAGGTATTGCTTAATTAACTGGTTAACTGCAAAATTACCTTGAAACCAGCTACATGTGCACAGTAGCTATCACACCAGAAAAAGTTTCAACCAGCTATAAAGTTTAGACCTCAAAAATGTGTACTAACTTAATAGCTGGTTGCTATTGAGCTTTAATTTGCATGTGGAGCAGGGTTTCCCCTGCAGCTGAGAGGCCTGTCAGTGGACTGGTCTCCCAGCCACATGGGTGCACCATGCCAAGCCAGGGCTGGAAGTCCCATGGCTGAGGGGACTCAGCCCAAGCAGCTACCACCTTTGGGTCCTGGCGGCACCTCACAGCTGCTGGGACTCAAAAGTCCCGTAGCTGTACACATGGGGTTCCTGCAGTGTGCCTCCCAGTGCCAGGACCCAGCAGGGTTTGGCCAGCACAATCCCCCAGCCCCGGGGTTGCATGAAACCCCCAAGGCTAGGAGATAACAGCTGTGTCTTTCAGCCCAGGGCTGCATCAAGCATGCCTGCAGGTGGGAGACCTTCAGCTAAGGGGTTCCCACCCACAGGAGCTTCTTGCTGGTGCAGGGGGAGCCTCTCAGGCTCCCCATGCACTGGAATAAGGCACAATTGGGATCTGATGTGCAACCTGACAGTTGTGCCTCCTGCCATTGATGTGTAGCATGGCAGAAGTTGTGACTGTAGATTGCACATCTGATCCTATCATGCCTTTACCTGCATGTGTAGAGGGGCCATTTTAATGCAATACCTATTGGTTTTTCAAGGGTTTATCCCCAAAGATAAATTTAACATGCTAATTTTTTTCAGTGCTTTTAATGAAAAGCAAAGCTCCATAAAGCCTAAATCCAGCCTCCAACGGGCTAATATACTGCCCCTGGGCTCCCCCCTGACCATTGCTGCGCCCACTTTCTAGTTGCTATGGCAGCAGCATGGGGCAGTATGGTAGGAGGCCTGGTGAATTTGCTGCCTGCATAAGGTTACCATCTGTCCTGGTTTTCCTCTTTTTTTGGACTCCTGTGCTGCATTCAAGCGGGTTTTTAAAATAACAGCAAATGTTATTTGTTAAATGTTATATGTTAAATGTCGGGTGTGAGGGGCACTGGCAGGGCTGGGGGTGTGTGGCTTGTCAGTGAGGGGCAACAGAATGGGCAGGGCACTGGCGTGTCACTGCCCCCTGACCATCATATTCCCCCATGCCCACCCCTAGTTGTAGGTGTGTATATTAAAACTTTTTAAGGGGGGAAAAATCTTCATTGAAGTGCAATATGATTGCTTTGAAAATAGGACCGTTCCCCCATTTGTTTGTAGTCGGGGCACGTTGTGCTGAAGGATCCTTGTGCCACGTTGTGACAGTATCAGTCCTGCTGTTCCTTTATCCTTCACCTTGGATGAGCCCTCCTGGGTGGCAGCACTGTGAGACCACAGGCAGCTCTGACTGGGAACTTTAGAATGAGCTTTTAAATGGGCTAAAGGGCAGGATGGTGAGTTTTGCGAGTTGGTTATTTGCAGGACACTGAGTATGGGACTGCGGTCTGCACTGGGCGTTTCCTTAACACGCGCAGCTGGGTTTCCAAAGATAACAGTGGGAATGGTAATGCTTTCTCTTGCTACAATGATTTTTCATTTTGATTCTTCCATTGGTCTGTTGGAGGTCACGCTTGGTAACTTTACATAAAACGTACTTATATAACCACCAAGCTTTACACTACAGCATTCAACTTTGGACCAAAGGAGGGGTAAAAAAGAGACAGAAGCAGGGAGACAGGACTGAATAAATACCTGTCCTCTCTGCACAAGTGCAGAGTGCAAGGGAAGGTAATTCATCTAGAGGGCATCAGAAATATCCAGATACGGCACATGGCTCATGAATATTTTTTTTATGGCAGGCCATACATTGTGACCTCCAAAACTTGATCAAGAGCATGGGGTTGAAAGGGAATGTTATAAAAAGAGGCCAGTAGACTCGCACCTGTCCATATTATGTCAGTGGTGGGTCCTACTGAAGATCAAGTGCTTGACAGTAGGCTGTGGTGATGAACCTGGTGCTCTCTTTTAGGCAGACTTCCTGGTCAGAAGACTTTGGTGCATGGGGAGATTGGCTGATAGACACAGGATCCAGAGGTGTCTATCATGAGGGTTATTCTGTTTTCACCGGCACCTGAGAACTAATAGGCTATTAATTAACCAAAGAGCTGAAGTGGTGCTAGCAATAGCAGTAAACAGCCTATTTGTTTACTGATAAATTTGTGATGTGTAAGGAAAAATACTGAGAGGCCACTATTCTTCTCAGGATCTGATGCGTTCTGATGAACACATTCATTATATATTATATAATGATATATCATGGTCACATTATACAGGTTAAGAAATCGTTTTTGGAAAGCCAGGTGGGAAAGTGTTTAAATGGGTGAGCCAAAACATAGGACTATACATGCTGTGTTTAAACCCTGCATATCATTTTAAATATGTAATAAAAACAGTACAGAAATGCTGTATAAAGAACAGAAGTAAATTTATATTCAACAGACTTTAAGCGTTTTTCAACGTGTTCTAAATACGATTTACTATGCTCTCTGTAACATGCTCGGAATATTTGTTTTCCTAAGAAACTGCGTATTGCCCTCTTTGAAAGGTGAATGGAAGCTATTAACACCTGCTTGTCATAGTTTTACATATAAAAGCCCTGATGTTTAACTCTGTAATGCTTTCTGTATTCTGAACTTTCAGAACTCTGCCTATGCTCTAGCAACGTGTTTAGGTAAGGAGCAAAAGCAGTGAAGCCCAGTAAAGATGTATCTAATATTATCTCAGCGTCCCCGTTCCACTTACCTCAGCAGTGATGAAGCACTGGATTTGAGGATTATACACGGTTCAGACTGTGGTTTCTCTGAGTTAATCGGTACTAGTCATTCAAATAGAGTAGAACGATAGTATGTGCTCTGATTTTGTGTACACCATATTAATACTATTTCCCAGAGCCATGAGCACTTGGAGGCTTTGAGGTTTGGGTCCCTACAAAACCATTTTATTAGCAATGTGTCTCATACTGATAGCACAGCTGAAATAAGGTGACTGACATGCAGAGGTTTGACGGTGAATGGATAGATAAGCTTGTGCATATGCAGATCCCATCTCTGTAGTACACTGAAACGCTTTAGTGAAAAAATGGATTGTGACACTCATTAGCCATGTGGATTTGCTGCTTATATCTACTGCTACTGTACACTTTGTTCCTAGCACAGTGGGCAGGGACACCCCGTGCATCCTTATACTGACAAACAGGCTCTCTTTATTTCTATGATTTATGGATTAGAAGGTTAACAAATAGCAGGCCTACTTTTTTGGACCTGGAAATATAGTAACCCTACATGGTGTTCCTGAGGCCATGAGCATGGGGCTTGCTTGTGTGATAAGGCAGTAGTGAAGCCCCCACAGGGTGGCAGTGTTAGGGGCTTGTCTACCATGGTGGAAGGATCAGTAGCGGTAACAGGGTGTGCTTGCCCATGCTAAGTGCAGCCTGGAGTCACCCCAAGTTTGGACAGGCCTGCCCTAAGACACAGTGTTAAAGCATCAACTTCCCTTCTCTAGACAGGTGGTTGCTACTGCTTTGTAAGAAAAAGAACTTCAACCCGGACTTCCCACGTGGCGATGCTTGTCTTTTGCCCCTAGGTCTCCATCTTCAAACGCACTCATGTTGGATGCGTCCTTTACCTCTTTCCGCCACTGCTGTAGCATCCTCTGTTCAGCTGGCCATCTCTCAGGTGGGTAGTACTCAACCTGCTCAGACCACATCAGGATCTTTATTGGTGGGGAGAATATCAGAATAAAACAAACTGAACGTTTCCGCAGGTAGCGCGTAGTGCAACACTGGATGGGTTGGCAAGAATTCATGTCCTGGAGATCAGCCCCTCCAGCCCCCAAGCCCTTGGAGGAGGCCAGCTCTTAGCCTTCTGTGGTGAATTACTGGGGCAGGTGCCAGCATGGCAGAGACATGAGGGTGTGGCACCACAGATCCCTTTCCTGCCTGCAGGGCATGGCTCTGCTAGCGCATGTCAGGCGTTTCCCAGGCTCACAGTGCCGGCACTGCACAGCGGTCAGGACACCCCTAAAAGGATCCTGGGGCCCCATGCCGCATCAGGCTGGGAATGGCTGCTTGGGAGGGCAGTGGGGACGGCTACCACATGGCACGAGCCTGAGAGGAGGGGGAGCTGTTTTCTTGAGAAGGCAGGGGAGGGCTGCACCTTACAGGCTAACTCAAGCAGCAGGGTGGTGCACATATAGATGAGCATGTACGACTACGTGCACACACGCCTATGTACAAGCACGTGCATACATCCACAGGTACAGACACCTGCACGTGCATACATACATACATGTGCGCACAAAGAGGCAGACAAGCTGCAGCGAAAGGACCACGTGCTGCAGCAGGGCCAGAGGCGAAGCCTCCGTGCGCCCCTCCCACCGGAGCCCGCGCTTCCCAGCATGCTGCCCAGCACTGAACGCCGCGCAGGCGCACCTCCCCTCTCCCGGGCTCGGCGCCAGCCGTTTCCAACCCGCCTCTGCGTCGCCTCTGATTGGCCCAACCCCAGCCCTACGGAACGGCGCTGAGGACACGCTTAAAGGCGGTGCGGGTCCCTTCCGCCGGGCGCCCCGGAGCATGGCGGGAGTTGTAGTCGCCTCTGGGAATTGTAGTGTCGTTCGGGGGTAAGAGGGAGGCGGCTGCAGGAAGGGGCGTGGCGTGGCGCTGTGACGCCCTTTCCGGCGGAAGTAAGGCCAGGGGGAGACGCCGCGCACCTTTTCCGCTCGCTCTTTTGTAGCCCAGCGCCATCATGGGTCGCATGCACGCTCCGGGGTGAGGCCGCGGCCGGCGGGTGGGGG